TGGGTATTAATTCAAGGGTATCAGTTTTGAGGCAGAAATTTGGGGCAGAAATTAGTGTTTGAGTACAGTTATCCAGCTTAAGATTGCAACTGCGTGTTGTTTTTGTCTGAGCTAAGGTGCTGTGCGTTTTTTGATTTTTGTTTCTTTTGCTTCATTTTCTTTTTGCAAGGTAGTCTTTCACCATTGCTTCAGACGAGGCAGTTAGCCCCCAAGCACTCTGGACCCGAGTTAGAAGGATCTGTAGATCTGGGATCTAGTCAAGGGACAACTAGTGTTTGTTTCAATCTCGCCGGTTACTAGACGGAGGAGGATTCGGCAGAGTTCGCCAATACAGCAATCACCGTTTACCTCGCCTGTACCCAGCCAGGCCCAGTCATCCACTTCTACTCCAAACAAAAAGTATTCACTAGTTCCAGTTGTACAAAGTTCTTTAGGCAACATGGAAGATATGCTTCGTCAACTCCAGCAGACTATTGAGAACATGCAGTTGGATGCTGCCTGACAAGCTAAGACCACAACTCGCCAAGCCGAGGTTGTAGCCCGCCAAGCCGAGGTAATAAAGAGGCTTCAACAACAGCAACCACAACCTGCAGTAGCCTCAGCATCCCATGCACCCCCAGCGAGAATTCCGACACCTGGGGTCACAATCAATATCCAGGAAAGAGCCGATCCCACTCCAGACCTCCAACGCACCAGTTTACCAAACAGAGGCACCGTTTGAGTTTGAGGCCAACCCTACAACATTGAAAGTCAGCAAGCTTGAGAAGCTTTTTAAACGAGCTCAAGGTGTGAATTCGACTCCAGACCTCCCAGATATAGAGGACGACTATACTGATTCGGCAATGACTTTGCCAGATAGATTCAAAATGCCGCATATAGACCGGTTTGATGCTTCCGGGGATCCTATGGGCCATTTGCGGCTATTCTCTGACATCCTGCGACCCATGGTGTAGACCGCCTGAACGTCCCGAGCTCCGCGCGCGAAGGGCGCGAAATCCGTTTTCGTTCATTAGCTACTACAGTTCGGACTCAATGTCACGGTTCTGAATCTAATCTCGCAAAGTGCAATTCAAAACCGATAAATCACCAAAGAGTCCAAATCCGGCAAATCGTTTTGGAAAACTGATTTTTATAAAGAAGTGCCAAACATGGACTGCTTTGCTAGATACAGAATCGCCACCTAAATATTTTATTTTAGGAAAATTTAAGAAACCCTGACTCGCGCGTAAGACCACGTGTCCGTCATCACCAAAGTTGTCTCGGCTTGGGTACGAGAGGGGAAGGTCATGCAATGAGCACCCCCGCTCGCCCAATCAAAGATCGGCCTTTACTAACATGATATTTGTTTTTGAAAGCACATGTGTTCTTATTCCGATGTATTAGCCTAGAATTACTATGTGATGCGTACAGCATACAAGTATAGACTAGAACGCCTAAGTTGGAACAAAACATCTCATGTTTGTTTGAAAATGGTTTGAAGGTGCTACTCGCAAATAGGCTAAGACGTGGATTTGCCACCCTCTAGTGGGCTTAGAAAACATGATTTTGCCACTCTCAAGTGGGCTTAAAACACGCATTTTGATGAATTGTTTCAATTCAAGCAATCTAACCTTCATCCACAGGCATTCATGCAATTAAACACTTAAGCAGTTAGCCTCATAGCAAGCATGCTGACATGGCAACACTCACACTCATGCAAGATGCTAAAGCTTAAACACTCATAGTGTACTCCGAGCCAAAGAAAGAAGCTAATTAGAAATCATACATGAATCCTAACTATGCCAAGATGCCTAATGCAACACATGCAAAAATGCAACTAAGATAGGCTCGGCTATTCTAAAATGACATGTGAAATGCAACAATTGCTGCATGTATTCAACTTGAAATTGAAATACAATACAGTTAGTACGATGCGCCGAGCCTAGTGCATGCAAGACAAATGAATGAATGCAAGCATGCAAACATAAGTATGCTAATCAAAACATGCCCTAAAGCTAACCATCGAAAGCAGTTAAGTAAGAGGGAGAAAGACGTAGGGTTGGAAGACATTCACACAAGTACGCACACTTATTACAAAATTCGCCCTCTCGACGGAGGGTCCGAATAAATAATACAAACCAACTACTTAGGGTGTGTTTGTATGCTAATCAAAACATGCCCTAAAGCTAACCATCGAAAGCAGTTAAGTAAGAGGGAGAAAGACGTAGGGTTGGAAGACATTCACACAAGTACGCACACTTATTACAAAATTCGCCCTCTCGACGGAGGGTCCGAATAAATAATACAAACCAACTACTTAACTAACTAACAAGTTAATTAATTATTACACAACCAAATCGTAACAAATAACTATTCTAAGTTATCAAAAGCACTGAAATGGCCTCGTGACGAGGGATGCATGCGCGCTCTGTCGGTTTCTCTCGGAAATTCGTTGCCATGCCTCATACTGCCTCTGTTTGCACTGTTCTGCACCTCTGAAAACTGTACCAACTTCTGTGATGCTTCTGACCTACCTCATGGACATTCTCCTCTCTAACTAACTAACAAGCTAATTAATTATTACACAACCAAATCGAAACAAATAACTATTCTAAGTTATCAAAAGCACTGAAATGGCCTCATGACGAGGGATGCATGCACGCTCTGTCGGTTTCTCTCGGAAATTCGTTGCCATGCCCCATGCTGCCTCTGTTTGCACTGTTCTGCACCTCTGAAAACTGTGCCAACTTCTGTGATGCTTCTGACCTACCTCATGGACATTCTGAGAGGTCATCGGCCAAGACGGGTGGCCATCGGCTAGTGGATAAAGGTCATCGACCACTTTTGAGACTATCGGCCAAATATTTGTAGCCGATCGGCACACTAGATAACCGATCGGCTATCTCTTCCTGCAAACTCCTCCTTTTGCTGCAGCAGAGTACAAACAAAGACATGGCAATACATTTGCAAGAAAATATTTGCAACTACACCCCTTATCATGTCTAAGGCTCAACGGTGTGTAGTGCTCGACCCTCAGGCCACTAATCACGCATTTCGATGCATAATGGCCAAAGGAGCCAAGTGTGCAATTCAATGTAAAATGAATGCACGAAAACACATAAATTCCTAGAACTCTATCATGCGTGTTCAAGAGCAACGGAGACCTAGGAAAGTGCCACGTTTCATCACTTCAAGTATGAAATGTCCCTCGTTTCTCTTGTTTGGCTTAACACCCAAACCAAACACAATGCAATGCAAGTATGTCAAATACAATGCAATGCATGCAAACAACGTAATGTAACATGAGCATACCAACTCAATGCAATGCAACCTAAGCATGCAAGCTAAGCTAATGTAATATGAGCATGCCAAGAACCATGCGAACAACTCAAACATGCAACAACAATACAATGAAACAAGCATGCAACAACATGCTATGGAACAAGCATGCAATGGCAAGGGTTATATGATGCAACACTTGGTGGACTTAAACTGCATATGGACAGACCTAAGAGGGTCCAAAACAGTGGCCAAAATGCTGAAATGATAGCTTCAAAAGTAAGGAAATGCATGCTCAATGCATTGGCCCATGACTTAAGCATAATAGTACAACTCTCAAACATGATGAAGAGGTGACAAATGTGAGAATGTAGCAATGAAGTAAACTTTGAAATTACATTCCAAAGGATGCTAAATCATGCATATATGACAAATAAAGCATGCAAGTGGGCTCAAAGCTTAAAGCTAGCCAAGGGACTCACACCATGGCCATAACAAGCAAGCCCCAAAGGGCCAAGGTGACTCAAAAAAGTCTCAAGATAGGCCAAAACAAGGCTAGAAACATGCTTGAATAGGGCTAACTTATGCTAGAATGGAAGGCACAAAGCATGACGCATACAAGACCAATGAAGGGGATTACACTACACCTACCAAACCCAAGCATGAGATGACTTCACCCACTAAAATTAGAGTTATGGCATGTCAAAATAACACCAAAAATGGGATAATACCAAGTCAACACATGCTAGAATAATAAGCTCACTCATTAGGCATGCAAAGCTAGCAAAGAGGACTTACACTACAAGTGTAAGAAGCAAATGCGGAATGCTCTAAACAACCAAAAACAGAGTTGTATCATGGGAAAATAGGACCAAATACATACTGAAATGGTGGCCCAAAAGCCTAGGCAAGATGGCATACACAATGGCTCATTTTTAAAACATAAAGCACCAACCCTCCAAAGCGTTGAAAGAGTGATAGATATGAGTGCATGACCATGAAATATGCTCTGAAATCACATAGCAAATGATGTCAAATCATGAAGATAGTCCAAGCAATGCATGCTAGTAAACTCAATACACAAAGCTAGTGAGCAAGATTGAACCATGGCTATACAAAGAAATACATGCATGACCAAAACAACACAAATCATAGCTTAAGCATGGTAAAACATGAACAAAAGCTTCTCAGAGTTAAAGCCAAAATCATGTTAGAATGATAGCCAAAAGCATGATGCATGTTAGGCTAATGAGAGGATTTGCACTACAAGTGTGTGAAGCATGCATAAAGTGACCAAACCAGCCATGGACAGGGTTAAGGCAGGTCCTAAAAGTCACAAAAAAGTGCATGAAATAAGCCTCAAAATGGTAGAAACACATGCTCATTTGATAGGCCAATAAGACATGCAAACAAGAGAAGAGGGGGGACAACCCCCACCCATTTGGGACCTCAAAATAGGGTTTTTACCACTGAAAATCCTCTAGATTTCAGTGGTTAAAAGGCCACGAAAAGTTGGTTTCAAAAGCTTAGGAAGTTGGCGCAAAAGGCTTTACAAGCCAAAGAGCAAAGGGAAAGACAACCCCCTAGCCAAACAAGGCACAAACCAAGACTTTTAGAACTAAAAAACAGAGGAAAAACAAAGGTTTTTGTAGTTCAACACCACCCCAAAAAAAGCCCCAAAGTAGTTGAAAACTATGGCAAAACAAGCTATGCAAAACAAGTTTAAAGGATTGAGTTTATACCTCTTGATGCACAACAGCAAAACAAGCCAAAACCTGAGCCAAAATCAACCTTCTGGAGCTCCAAATGATCCTCAAAGAACCTCAGCCCAATGGTGGTTAAGTTTGGTTAAGGGTGCTTAGGCAAAGGTGTAGGAAATTCTCACTTCTAAGCCTAAAACAAGAGGAGAAAGAGAGAATTCTAAGGAGGGAGAGAGTTTTGCTTACAAAACTTCTAGAGAGAGAGGATTCTAGGGTGAGAAGTTCTCAAATTTCTAAGCCTTCAAGAAATGTTCTAACCCTTAAAAAATGAGATATAAGGCTCTCATATATAACAAAATATCAAGCTTGGTCGAAATATCTAAGCTAGGGACAACTGGAGCTTGCTGGAAATAGCTGGAGATGAAATATCTTAAAAAAATCTGAGTTTGGGTCACTCTTGGCCGATCGGCCATCTTTTGTGCCGATCTGCAACATATCTGCTACTTTTTTGGCCGATCGGCCAACAAAATCTGCTTTTCAGGCCCAACTTCAAATGAGTATAACTCCTTCATATGAACTCCTTTTTAGGTCATTCTTGTGTCAAAATTGAAGCCCCGGAAGTAAGTTTTCCAATGGTGGCAACCTTGCATCAAAATTCCAAGTTTGCAAAAAGTTATGCATGTTTTGGTGAAGCTACTCAATTTCGGTCCAACCAGAATGATACCCAACTTCAACCAACCATATCTCTCCCATCCGGACTCGGCTTTAGGAGATTCTTAAGTGAAATATGAAGCCCCAGAAGTAAGCTTTCTAACGGTGGTGGCCTCATAGTTGAAATCCAAGTATTCAAAAGGATAGATCTGATTTAGCGAGGGCTGCTCGACTCTTTCTTAGCGATTCATGCCTATCTTCTTCTCCAACATGGTTTCTTCCCTCTTCTCCTCTTTTCTTCAACTCCAAACCCCTAAACAAAGGTGTTTTGAAAGATTTTTCAAAGATTTCATCTCTCTTTCATTCATTTTAACTTTGTCCTTGCTTGGTTTACCGAAAAGCGCAACATCTAACAAAATGAGAGCCTCGAAACATCGTAGAAATTTCTTTTCAAAAATATTTTGAAAGAGAGGGTTTTAAAGTCTAAAAACCATTCAAAATAGTTTTAATCCAAAAATAGGATATGAGGTTAGGATTTCACTCTCCTCTCGCCGAAATCGACCTTTGCCCTGCACACCTTTCACCACCAAGTAAACCATTAGTAGTGCCCAAGTCTTAAGGGTGGTCAAAAATGGGGTGTCTACACATGGGTCTCACCAGACTGCAGAAATTGTCGCTCTTCGGCCGGACCCTGTCGGGTATAGCAGCAATCTGGTATGCTAAACTTGAAGACTCTGTGAAGAGAAACTGGGAGGAAATTGCCGAGGCCTTCATAGTGCATATTCCTACAACACTCAGATCGAGGTCACAACTCATGATCTCGAAGCAACTCGTCGAGAGCCGAAAGAGGGCTTTCCTACAATACTCTGTCTGTCTCTTGTTTGGTTTGTCTTTCAAATTTTTTTTTGGAGAAACTCTCTTTCGTAAATACTTTTGAATACTCTGTCTATCTCTTGTTTTGTTTGTTTCTCAGAAAAAAAATTTGAAAATTATTTTTAAATTTTTAAAGATAAAATAATGTAAAAATGGTAACTATTTTTTTATTTTTTTTAATAAAAATTTTAAAAGGCAAAATAATGTAAAAATGTTAAGTGTTTTTTTATTTTTTTTAATTTCTTTCATCGAATTAGTTTAAATTATTTAGAAAAAAAAATTCTGAAACAAGTTTCTGAAAATCAAACCTTTTAGATTTTTTTTTTTTTTTTTTTTGAGAAACTCTCTCTCAAATACTTTTGAATACTCTGTCTATCTCTTGTTTGGTTTGTTTCTCAAAAAAAATTTGAAAATCATTTTTTAATTTTTAAAGGTAAAATAGTGTAAAAATGATAAGTAGTTTTTTAATTTCTTTCATCAAATTATGTTTAAATTATTTAGAAAAAAATTCTGAAACAAGTTTATGAAAATCAAACCAAACAGGGCGTTCACCATGGGAGGGCTAAACAGTTTAGTAACTTACTTTGATGACCATGGGGGGCTAGCTAAATAGTTTAGTAACTTACTCTGATGCCATCATTTGGCCCCCTTAATATGATGAAATCCTGCCTCCACCCCTGGTGTTTACAATGATCGAAATAATTTTAGTTTTTGTCTTGTTATATTGTTTTGTTTTGCTAGCCCTTTTAATTTTTCTATGTAGCTACACACCACTAGTCTTCTGAACAACTTGCAAGGATGGACTCTTGATGGTAGAGTCCTCAACAAGCTGACAGGGAGTGGCTTTGATTATTTTAGAAATTTCGCACCTGATCTTAGGTTAAATTTACCTTTGATTTCTGCAATGATTAGTAAATATGATGTAAATGATGCCTGCTTTAAGTTTGGGGGGTCGCTGATCCTCATACCCTTGTTTTTGGGTTAGAGGATATATAATATATAACTGGGTTTCTCGTAGATGGTAGGCCTGTCACTGGACGGGATGATTCTGACCCTGCCCAAATATGTAAGACATATTTGGGATTGAGTAACATATTGAGAGTTATCAAGAAGGGGAAGGAGGTGACTACCTCAAATGTTTCTTTAAGATGGCTGAGGGAAGTTTTTATGACTGTCCCCCCTCATGTTGAGGAGAACATTCTAGAATTTGATTGGTATGTTCGGGCGTATGTGCTATACGTCATTGGGTATGTTATAGCTCCAGATCCAGCCGGAGCTCATGTTTCGGTCTTGTTTCTTCCTCTCTTGGAAAACGTCAATGAAATAAAAAATTATGCGTGGGGGGCTGCTATGTTTTCATACATGCACTCTTCAATGACAAAGTTGAAGGATAATCTCCATCCTAGAAAGGAGATTTCTGGCTGCTTTTATGCATTAATGGTGAGCAACAATTTCATTTTTTAATTTGTTTGTTTATTTTTGGTTTTAGATATTTCGCTGATATGTATTTTTTTTTTCTGGCACAAATTTTTGCTCTTTTACGCAACCCTGCTCTAGTTTTGCAATTTAACATCCCTGAGATTAGGGATGCAATCACAAAGTTCCCTTTGATTGTGCAATGGTCAAATATCTTTCTTGCAATGACAAGGGACAACTAGAAATGAAGTAATTTTTTTCCCAAAATTTATTTAATCAATTGGTATTTTTTTTTTTTTTTTTTTTTTTTTTTTGGTCTATAATTCACTAGCTTGATTCTTTTTATTTTGTTACCGATAATGTGGAAGCCTGCCTGTGGACTTTATTCCACTTCCTTTGAAGGAACAGGAAATCATAGGCATGTCCCGAACAATTCTTATTTGTTTTGAGAAGGTTGTCTATGATCGGCCTGACTTAAGCCCTAGGCAGTTTGGTTTGGAGGAGGATTTTTAGTGTACCTTGACGGACCCTCTTGTGGAAATAAGAACCATATCTCGGGGCGGGCCAAAGGTCAACCGAGATTGGTCAAAATTTGGTGATTATCATCGATTTAATCAAGAGTGGAAAAAAAGACACATTTTATTAATCAACTATCAAGGTATATTCAAGAGAGGCGATTGTCCGTATGCGGCTCTCAGCTAAGGACAACAAAAAACTATATATGAATCAAACAAAATTATAACTATTAAAATAATTTTTTTAAATAAATAAATAAATCAAACTAAAAATCAATCCAACAAACCTTCAAGCCTCAGAGGAGTTGTACCCTTGTCACACAAGGGGCCTGGAGAAAAATAATAAGAACCAACAAAACAGGAAAAAAATTTAAAATACTAAAATTTGCAAATATCCATTTTTACACTATTTTACCTTACAGCCTTGATTTCACCCATGATTTCTCTATAAATATGATTACTTATAGCTGTAGTTGATACTATTCTTTTTTTTACAGCACTATAACATTGAACTGTTTTTTGAATTTTGAATTTTGAATTTTGTATATAATGAAGGGCCCAATCCTTCCACTTCTGAAATCCCCCAGCAAACCAGCCCTTCAGAACATCCGCCGCCTTCTACATTTGTATATAATGAAGGTAGTTATAAGCCCGCCATTCCACCCATGATTTCTCTATAACTAGTCTATGATTATTTACAACTGTAGTTGATACTCTTCTTTTCTCTACAGCTATGTAACATTGAACTTTTTTTTGAATTTTGCTGTAGGTGAAGAGAGTCTTTCCGATGGATTGGGACTCCACACTAAACTTTAGTTTGGGAAGTGGGAACTTTTTAAGTTAACTGCTTTTTGAATTTTTTTGATGAACTGTTTTTAGGTGAACTATTTTTTCAATATTTTTTATGTTCTATATTTCATAGGTGCATTTGCTGGGGAAGGTGGTCTGGATGATGTAGCAACTGGGTCCACAACTCCCAATTCAACAGGTAGTTTGCAGCACTGTCAAGATAAAGTTTCCCTCTTCATTTTTGTTTGTCCTTCTGTGTTGTTTGATTCACATAATTTCTATAGTTTTAGTTTTGTTTGATTCATATATTTTTAATATTTTTAATTTTGATGTTCTATATTTCATAGCTACCACTGTTGGGGACACTCAGCACAACTCACCACCACCGCCGCCAACCCCCAATTCAACAGGTTTAATAGTTTGTTGCACTGTCAAGATAAAGTTATCCTCTTCTTTTTCTTTTTTTTTTATCCTACTTTGTTTTAGTGGTTATGAGTTGTGAATTATTTATTTTGATTATGTGTATGTCCAAATTATTAGTATATGTTAATTATTTATTTTTTACTGAAAGGTGTGCCTCGCATCAATGAAGCGTGCGCCTCACCTTGTGCCTAAGCCACAATGAACTTAAGTTTTGGAAGTGAGAACTTTTTAGGTTAACTGTTGTATTAATTTTTTTGATGAACTGATTTTGGCGGTGTTTGGGAAGCCTGGGTAGAGGCTATTTTAGCCTCAACAATAAAAAAAAAAACCTTTTAGCCCCTTTAGACCATGGATTTTTTTTAAAAAAATAAAAAATAAAAATAGCCCGGCTGTGGGCTGTAGGACTGTCACTGTGACAGGTTGGTTAATTACAATTTTACCCCTTAAAATTCATTTTGAAAAATGTGAAGTTAAGGACAAATTTGTCATTTTAACTTCAAACATCATTTCAACACATTTTTCAACACACCAACTCAAATAAAAATCCATCCTATCTTCCCAAACACAAAAACTAAAATAGCTTACTAAAATAGTCAAAAAGCCAAAAAGCCTCTAAAATAGCCACTTCCCAAACACCCACTACTTTAGGTGAACTATTTTTTGAATTTTTTTGATGTTCTATATTTCATAGGTGCATTTGTTAGGGAAGGTGGTCTAGATGATTTAGGTACTAGGTCCACAACTCCCAATTCAACAGGTAGTTTGCAGCACTATCAAGATAAAGTTTTCCTCTTCTTTTTTGTTTGTCCTACTTTGTTGTTTGATTGATATAGTTTCTATAGTTTTAATTTTGTTTGATTGATATATTTTTTTCCGTTGTCCTCAGTTGAGAACC